CATGTGAATATGACTGAAAAATTTCATTTTTTCAGAAAAGGTGGTGTCTATTTACTTGTGACCACGCTGTGTATATATAATAGAAATATGCGTTTCACATTATTTATCACACATTCTTATGTTTGCTTTGTAATATGTAAATAAATACCTTGCAAGTGAAATCATAAGTCAAAATATGTTCTAGATTATTAGTGAAATGCGTTACTTTACCTCACAGTGGGACCTGGTGTGTGGCAGTGACTGGTTGCTGTCATTGAGTACCACCGTAGTTATGGCAGGGTTTCTTTTCTCGGTTTTTATATGTGGTCAACTGTCCGACAGGTAAGGTGACGAACCTACTGAACTGAATAATGAATTCAATAACCAGCAACTTTTACAGAACCATTGATAGTGTTTTCTTCCTCTGATATTATATTTTAAATGGACAAATTTGCTCTAAGCGGAACATAGGCTGTAATATTATGCTCAATTAATGATCTCAGCCAACTTAAGAGTTCCTACAATAAGTAATAGAAAAGATAATTATTTAATTTGTTTCAACATTTGAGTCATTAGTTCTTAAATCTAGTATTGAGTGAAACATGTCATCGACAATAGATATGGCGGATATAGTGGTCCGAATAATATTATGAACCCTTCTTCTCGGAAAACACTATGGGACCAAATAAATAATGTGGTATTTTGAAATATAAAAAGGCTAGTACTATTGTTTTATGACAAATATGACTCATCTGAAACGTTTCTGCTATAAATATTAAATGAAGGTAACTATTTAATTTGATTATAAAAAAAATTGTCATCAGTACTTATTAATTTGAAATGTATTTTCAGGTATGGTCGTAGACCCATCATATTAACGTGTATCGCTCTTTCTTTGCTGTCTGGTCTAGCGTGTGCTTTCTCTACGACATTTGTTATGTTTATTATCTTCAGATTTATTATCGCTTCTGGAATTTCAGGAGCAACGACTACTTCATTTGTATTGCGTAAGTTTTTTTTTAATATTCTATTCATTTCTTTATCTATCTAATGCTTTATGGCTGCATTTTATGTTATCCTCCATATTACTTCATGTAAAACTACGAAATTGTGACGTAGATACATTGAACCAGTGGCGAATTGGTAGATGTTAACAATAAAGTACTAATGAAGTCGTAAACTACTGAAAAAAAGACAATAGCAAATTGTTGGCTGGTAGCCGGAGGATATTTGCATTCACAAAGAATAATAAATTAACGGTAACGTCTGGCTAGATTGCACAATAGTAAATGTTGAAAGGGAACCAAAACAACCTGTTAATGTAATGACAGAGAACCCATCGCAGGGTAACTAACACCTAGCAACTTGGTAACGTATTGACAGAGAATCCATAGCAGAGGAATACATAACTTGTTAATGTATTGACAGAGAACCCGTTTGGTCAGAAAATATAAACTTACTTATTCAGATAAAAATCGTATATGAAAGCCTACGAAAAAGTATTGAACAAAGAGGTCACATGACCGGATAGTGTTGCAAAACTTAGAAGGGGTATCACACAAAAAATCAATACACTTAAAAATCTCATAAACACAGCCACAAGACCCTGTTCAACGGACTACATAAATGAAGAAACTAAGCATTAAAAGCATTCCTTTATTCACACCAATAAATTCCCACCAGCCATTGTTGAAAAACTCTCCAACATTACCCACAACAAAACTCAACTCACGAACAAAATTGATACTAACAAACCCAACAACAGTACATTACACTGCAGTTTACCTTTGGTTCCTGAAACCAGCTCAAGAATTATCCACACTTGGACAAAACTGGCCATTAAATCCAGCTCAAGAATTATCCACACTTGGACTAAACTAGCCAGTAAACACAATATTCCTGTCAACGTCAAATTCTCACAAAAACACGGCCCTAAATTAAAATCGTTACTAAACAAAAATTATATAGAATCACACAATACCAACGTCATTTACAAAATAACATGCAATAACTGCCCAGAATTCTACATCGGAGAAACAGGAAGAAAACTTTTGAGTTGCAATGGTGAAAAACATGGGACGGTTTTTTATTGTGTTCTGTCAATCTGGTTTCCGACTGTGTTTTTAATAGATATACTATGGTTTTTTAATATATTAATTATATTATATCGTACGTTTCGGCTGTTACCGTCTTGCACTGCTGATTGTTGAGACAGGGTGGTTTGATCTATGATCTAAGGTTAATGTATTAATTATATTATATCCTACGTTTCGGCTACTGCCGTCTTGCGCTGCTGATTGTTGTTGTCTCTTTAAAGATATTGGTAAATACATTAACTTTAGATCATAGATCAAACCACGAAAAACAGTAAGAGTAATGAAGTAAAAAGCAAATTACAACGACCCTCCTTGACAAGAGAACACGTGATAGAGAGGAATAAAAAAGACGCACGTTTAAAAGTAAACAGGAACGAACTTACAGACATAAACACATTCGTCTATGTCAAAAGTCTTTCTTGCAAGAGTCAAAAGGTACGCAAGTAGCATTAAAGTCAAAACAGTATTAAGAATCCACAACATAAGGCGACTAACGTTAGTACACACCAAACAACGTAAAGACCCAGTAGAGAGCAAAAATACCACTTATAACGGCCCGGTTTTAAATATGGACTCCAATATAATTGAGAAAGACCTAGAATTCAGGACTAGAATAAACACATAAGACTCTGTAATATTGAACTATGTGCCCATCGTATTAGAAAGGAATAGGATATAATAAACTAGAAAAAAACCTAAAATAATGATATATGAACCACACATGAAAAAAAAAACAAGTTTAAAGAAGCCTTCTCCATCCAATTAAATGATATCGCACTCAGCCAATCTTGCATAGAAGTCAAGAAAACCTGAATATTCTTATTTAACCTTCCAAGTAGTTTGCATTTGCAAACTGAATTCACTTCATTTTCAACAGCTACAGTACGAAGCTGTTTCTGTTTCGCATGCAACAAGACCATTAACATAATGAATTAATTTCACTTCTAACTGTGTAGGTTTCACATCTTAAAACAGATTTTTGTAGGTATAATTCGTTGTTGTTGTTTTTCCTAAGGTTTAATTGAAATTAGGCAAGCAACTTACATTAGTATTACGATGGTATAAAATTATCAAAAGATATTTGATTTTACAAAAATAACCAGAGAGACATTCAGAGATTCCAGGTACACACCCATCGCAGTGTATTCAAATTCGATGACGAGGAACCCACTTTGAGACTAATAATGGCTGGAGACAGCTTGAATGGGTAATGAAGAAAAACTTTAATATAAATTCGATGACGAGGAACCCACTTTGAGACTAATAATGGCTGGAGACAGCTTGAATGGGTAATGAAGAAAAACTTTAATATAAATTCGATGACGAGGAACCCACTTTGAAACTAATAATGGCTGGAGACAGCTTGAATGGGTAATGAAGAAAAACTTTAATATAAGTTTAACATAACAGCAAATGTACACATACATTGAGTCTTCAATGAAATGGTTGGATTCAACCAGCTTTGAACTTTGTAATTACTACATCAACACCCGTTATTTACAAGACCATCAGCAATGCCACACTAGCAAACGCATGGGTGGCATACCATCCAAGTTCTTGGGATAAAACAGTGTGGAAAAGCTTCTAGACCTAGAAACCGACCTAGCTTTGACCATTCTACCACGGATATGTATATATACAGTATTGAACAAAGAAATCACATGACCGGAACTGTTGTGAAACTTAGAAGAGGTATCTAGGCACCCCGGGGTGTTGGTTTAGAGTAGGGTTGTTTTGTTCAATTAAGATGGATTCCTTGCTTTTTCGTTTGTTTATGTTGGGTTCTTTGTTTAAAATTTTAGATCATAGATCAAACTACCCTGTCTCAGCAATCAGCAGTGCAAGACGGCAGTAGCCGAAACGTAGGATATAAAATAATTAATACATTAACTTTAGATCAAAGATCAAACTACCCTGTCTCAACAATCAGCAGTGCAGGACGGCAGTAGCCGAAACGTAGGATATAAAATAATTAATACATTAACTTTAGATCATAGATCAAACTACCCTGTCTCAGCAATCAGCAGTGCAAGACAGCAGTAGCCGAAACGTAGGATATAAAATAATTAATAGATAATTGTAATCATAATGACAGTAAATAATCAGTAGTTGAAATGTAACCATCTCAACAATAGATACACTTTGTTAATATACCTGTTAGGTTTAAAATTGAGACATTTTCTTAGTACACGTGTTAAAGGTGAAACTAGAGGATATAATATAATTAATAGGTAATTGTAATCATAATGACAGTAAATAATCAGTAGTTGAAATGTAACCATCTCAACGATAGATACACTTTGTTAATATACCTGTTAGGTTTAAAATTGAGACATTTTCTTAGTACACGTGTTAAAGGTGAA